GTGTACTGGGAGGCGGACGAGTCCTCTCTTCTCCTTATTTCCTTCTCCTCTCCCACACACTCTCTCCTTGCAGATATCCTGCAGATGGGAAGCTTGGGGGTGAGGTACCCCAAGATGTTGAGGTTCTTGCTGGGTTTTCAAAACCACCAGGGTTTTACCTAAGGAGCCCCACTTCCACGGGGGAGACTCACAAGGCATAATCTTCCTGCCACTGCACTTTGCACCGAATTGTCTACAAAATCTTCACGAGGTGTTCCTCCTCTGAGGAGAATAGAGGGTGGCCTCAGTGGAATTACTGCCCATATAAACTGGGCCAAGAGAACCAAACTCTCTGAGAGGAACTAAGTTTTGGGCATAGAGAGAGGAATTCATACTGGCTTCATGCAGGAGCTGCCTGGTGCCTGGCATCCCCTCCTGGGATGCCAGGGTCCGGGGGTACGTGGGTCTGTCCCTGCTCCCCAGCCCGCTTGTCAAGCATGGTGGCATAAAGCGAGAGGGGAGTGAGTGTATCCCTCTCCTTTATCTTCCTTCCATGAACAGCTCTATTGATTGCCGTCGGGTTATTAGCATGGGAAGGTGGTACCCAGTGTGAATGCAAGTGACAGCAGCCAGCCAAAAGAAAGGAAACAGGGAATCAGTTCCCCTCAGAAGGAGAGGCAAGAAGTCCCCTGACCCTGCTTGGACTTACTTTGTATTCTGTGAGGGATGAGCTCTTTCCCGAAGGTTTACAGGCTGTTCTAACAGGCAGGAAATAAACCATGAGAAACCTTCCCAGCACTCAGCAAATGGAGGCTGGGGTGACACAGGAGAGCACCAGATGAGTCTGTCACATCACAAAAAAACACAACAAATGAACATAAAAAAACCTCAAAACCCAAGAACAAACCAAAGATGTTTTTCTCTCCATTTTCTTGTGTCTAAACATGTAATTCACTCCTATTTGACTTCAAGGTATTTTGCAAGGGAAGCACTAATTCTGCTATAGGTAATATTGGGCCAGATTCTCTGCCATCAGCCAAGCATACTTCTGTTTTCACAGAGGTGGTCCAGCTTCTTCTGCGCAGTGATTTGGGCTTGTTCCCCTGCCTTATGGACATTAAAAGTAGCATAAAGCTCAGTCTCCAGTAAACTATACCCAAGCTCAGATCGAAGATGATGGTCAGGATTCACAGTAGACCTTGGTGTAACTTCTGGAAAGGATTTCAGAATGGGAACCAAGAGGCTGGAGTGACAGGTGTCACTGATGCAATTTTCCTATGAGGTTTCTTTTTAACGGGTACTTTTTCCCCTCTGACACCCACTAGCAACTCAGACTCATGTGCAATTGTCCGAGTAACCAGTTTCACCTCTCACGCTTAGGGCTAAGTAATGCTTCTCTGATACAAGGGAGTGAAGATCCTTCAGAAATGCCAAGAAAATTTTCTGCTTTTGATCTTTACTAGGGATAAAAATGCCACAGCTCCCTGTCAAAGTTTGTGCCTCTTCAGCACACCATAAAGCAGCCCAGCGGGATGCCAATTAAGCGCTGTGGGATGCCGTGTGTGTTCCTGTATGTCTGCATGCCTGCATGCCTGCCTGCGTGTGTGTGTGTGCGTGTGGCTGGTGGGTGGCCTGCTCAACATTTTGGTGGATGTTTCATTCCCACCCCTTTTACTATGACCCTGGTTAGGCCACTTTTATGCCAGTGACAGCTTCATGAAGCACAAAACATGGAGCAATACATGGCATGAAATTGGCAACAAAGCCGAGCAAAAGAAGGAACAATTCTCTGGCAGGATGTGATCACAATATGGCTGATTGGATCTGGAAGCAGATGCCAGCAGCGGGTATTGTCCCAGTGACTGAAAAGACATGACCCCCGAGGTACAGAAGACAACGAGGCCCTCCTTATGAACCACAGGGGGAGGGGAGAAGAGGTGAAACCAATGAATAAATCAGGCAATGGAAGCAGGGGAGAAAAGAAAATGCTAAAGAGGACTTTTATGGGGGACAGGGGCAGCTCAATATGCAAGAGCGTTGCCTCCCCAGCTAGCTGAACACTTGCTCAGACAATGGCTTTTTAACAGATGGGAGCCCTGCTGAAAGGGGCCAAGTTTTGTGCAGTTGAGAATCCCTGTTTGTTTAGTCTGCTGCTCAGGCAGGTGTCTGCAGAAAGGCAATCCAGCAGGTTAAGTGTCTCAGGGGCGGTTTAAGACAGGCAAGCCAGCATATCTACGATGGCTGGTTTTATTGGCAGGGGACTGATCTTGTTAGAGTTATTTGTGAAGCCCTGGGGAAGGAGAGAGAAAAAGAGACCTCTTCTCCTTTCCTTCTAAGGACAGATTTTCTCAGTCTGGGCAATCAGGCCCTGGTAATAAACTCTACCAGTAGGGATGCTTCATGTCATAGGTACGAACAGAGCACGAAACATCGCAGCTTACATTGTCACAATTCTGTGCTCCTACACACATTTGTTCTTTTCCTCCTTTCCTACAGTACATTTGAAAACCCAGCTGCTTACACTACAGTTTTCTGGATGGGCTTCTTCATCTGTTTTGGCATTTACTAGAGATCATTGAAATTCGACTCACATGGCTCCTGACCTCAGTGATGTTCAATTCTCCTCTGCAGTAACAGAGATGCTGCCATTCTCCTCAGTTAAGGATGACATCCAGCTAAGAAGACTGGTGGGGTTGATTTTTCCCTAGTCACATAAGCACATAGACACCAAATGCCACATACAGGATTGGGAGACCCCAGAAAGTAAGCGCGGTGGGTGTGTGCTGGACTAGTCCAGAGGAGGTGAAAGCCTCACTACTCACTGGATACTTGCTTCCAGACTGGGTAAGAAAATGCTCACTGCGAGAAGGCCAGTGCCAGAGGATGCTTCTCTGAGGATGTCTCCAGAGCAGGATTACAGCCCTAAGCAAACCAGCAAGTGGCAGCAGGTACAGCTTCTCCTTGCAATGTGAGAAATGGCACTAGCTGTAAAATCTTGACCTGTGCCTGGTGTGAGCTGACAGCACAGCAAGCTGGCTGCTTGAACAACCAACATGCCTTTCTCCCTGCCCATAAACAGCCTCTGATAATGTCAGCCCCCCTGTCTTTCACAGAAGAAACTGCCCTCTGTTGAACCATAAAGTGTTTGGTGATACACTCACCAGCAACCAATCTGGGAAAGGTTTTTGCATGGCCCTATTCAAAATGGCAAGCTTATCACAATGTGGATGATGCAAGGAACACAAAGCATGGGGAGAAGGTAAGAGAAGGAAATGGAAGGGAAATATACACTACACCAGGTCTGAGTGGCAATGGGAGTGTCACCTCCCCTCATGCTAGATCATGGCAATCATGATAGCCCTGAATCTCAAACAACTCAATGAAAAGATAAAGAGACACCCACATGGGTTGGATATAGTCTCATTTGGTCTCAAAGCAGTGCAGCTGTGTTCTGGACAGACCCAGTTCTTGGTCCATGTTGTGGTGTACCTGGTGCAGTTGCAGAGCTGCGCAAGGCAGGCATGCAACATCAAATGCAATATCCACCTTTAACTCCTACCTGTGCTATTGACTTGCTAAGTGGTTTCAGAAAGGAACATGACTTCTCTGTGCTCACCCTCCCCTCTGCCTTCTATATCCTTTCTCTTCTTAAAATACACTGAGAGTCATTCTTGGTAAGTGTATGGATTCTATATGCTCATATATTCTTAGCATATATTCTAAGAAAGACTATTTCTAGCTATTCTTCCTCTCAGGAGTGTGGGTCAGCAGAATTTCCTATGCTGTTTCGCCTCGTTTGCTCTGAAACCTCCCTGTAGTCATGATTCACATTGGGAACAAAAACGTCACCTTACTTCTACCTAAGAAGCCCACCAGAGGATTGTTACTTTCAAGGGCTGGAGGCAGCACAATGTTTCCATGACTAAATTAGTGCCTTTCTGCCTTAGGCTCCTCTCCCAGTCTCTCCTCTACCTCCAGATCTGTTTTGAAAAGAGGGAGGCCAAATCTTGTTTCCCATTATATACTGGATTGTTGTGTGACTACTGAGCCCACCCACACGAGATCTGCAAAAAACCCCACAAAAGCAGAACTCAGTATATCGCAAGTTTACTCTCACCCTTTCTACTTTTCTTTAAAAAAAAAAAACAATCTTTCGCTGGTTGGATTGGGTTAAACAGCACAAAATAGTAACCTCCAGACACAGCTGCACATGCAGTTGCATCTTTGATACCTATTTTCTGTCATAAAAAACTTCAGTCTTGAACTAGCAACAGACACAAAGGTTTTTCTAGTTACTTTCCAGTTTGCAAAGCCTCTTAATATTTTTGGTACAAAGTTAAATATTTTTCTTCAAAGCACCTAAAGACAATGCTAATGCTTTCTGAATTTGCCTCTTCCCATTTAGTTATCTTGGTACTATTCATTTTTAGAGGCTTAAAGTAGGGTTTATGCGGCATTAGTATTCATAGGCACTGCCTAATTTACTCTTATGTTCGGGTACGTAAGTGGGGGTTTTCAGATGAAACAGAGGGGATTAGATCTAGATCACTTGCTCTGAAGAAAAGTTGTAACATGCTCCAACTTTCTGCTCTTTTCAACACAGCACCAATTACTAAAAATAGACTTTTTATTCCTAATAAAGAAAAGTAACTGCTTCAGTCTTGGAAAGAAAAATTATTGTATGCGAGTGTAAGAAAAACACAAAGTCCCCAGCCCCTCCCTCCACCCTCTCCTTTTCACAAGAATGAGGGATTATCACCACTGATCCCTAACGCCGCTCTCAGTGCACTGGCTTCGCACTGTTGTGGAGGCCCTGGGTGCACTCCAAGCCCTTGATGCGGGGCTGGCAATAGCCACTGCTGCTTGGGAAGGTGGGCTGGCCACTGACCACAGAGATGCCAGATGCAAGGGCTGTGCTCTGGCTGTTGATTGTTAGCCATTGCAATGGGAGGTAAAGGGGTTTGTGTCTGCCTCAGACAGCACTTGGGGAATCACCCTTGTTCATGGAGGGGAGAACACTGTAAGGTCAGAATGTCCCCTGCCTAGCTTTCACAGGCATAGAAATTTGCTTCCACTTACAGATATGGCTGAAGGAGAAACTCTTAACAAAAGCTTTTTCTAAACCTTCAAAAGCATATGGCTGGAGGGGAAACACACTGCCCTTTGATTCTGTTATAACTCAGATTTTAAACATCATTACTGTTAAGTACATTGACATTTGAAAGCAAACACAAATTTTCATCACTTTTTCGTGTATTTTTGGTTTGGAAACAAGACAATTACCTCCCTAAATTCCATTTATGTTGCGAATTTGATTTGGAATATGTAAACCTCCATGAGATGATAATGCAGTTAGAGGGATGTGAAACAATGCCTTGTTTCCCTCTTGGGCAGCTATAGGGAAGCAGGGTCCAAGCCCTCCTGCAGACCCCCCGCACCCCGCAGGCCCTCCTGCCTTCAGCCCTGCACAGACACAGCCAGCCTAGGGTTACTGTTAGCTTGGATGCTGCGTTTCTTTTTGGTGCCCTCCAGCGGCCAAGGCAGTCCAATGGGCTGCGGTTGACCAAGGACGTGCTCAAGCAGCTGGGGTGGATGGGGCAGGAAAGGCAAGCACTTCAGCAAGATCTTCTTCAGATCTCTGTACTAGGGAGGGAAAGGTGTCATTCCAGGCCCACTTTTGTTCCAGGGACAGGTATTCACTATTAAGGTATATTGCATTTTTCTTTCCCCCTGAGAAAGGAAGACATCAAACAATTTCAAGAGGTCAGAATTCACTGTGGGGTAAAACCAACGAGGTCAGCTGAGTATCCATAGCTACATGCTGTTACTTGAAATGTGTAAACATAAACTACTCGTATGCTTGTGAGAGTATATCAAAGCCATTTGGGGCTGCTCATTACCTGACACTGTATCTCAGGTCCAGGTATAACTTTTAATGCTTTTAATGGCTGTTTTGCATTTTGTCCTAATTATGCCACTAATTTGCATCAATATAAGCACACAAAAGGACTTTTCAGACAATAACATTCTTCTAACCAAGTCAACCAAAGAAATGAAGCTAAAGGATGACTGCCTGGGCAGACCACCAGGACCTGGGGCAATTAGACATCAAGGTTACATCTAGATGAGCACAGTTCTGGGCATGTGAATGCAGTTATCTGCCCCAGCAAACAGCTACAACTTTCCCTGACACTGTTTTGGTTCATGCCAACCTGCACCTTCTTAAAAGATGCCCAGGTACAATTCCAAAGAGTGCACATCTGCACCTGGCATCACTCACAAAAAGCAGTGTATGTGCTTCACCCTGCCCCAGAAGCTAAGAGGATTTACAAGCAAAGCTGCAAGCCAGTGGCCTCTGTGCCTGGGAACACTTCAGAGCATGTTTAATTGTGTTGTCTTTTGTAACCCAAAGGTCTGCTTTCCCCTGGGATTCTGAAATTATAGCGGTTGCTTGGCATCAAACCCTAAGGACATTGCACTGCTTGTTTTATATCAAGTAGCAGTACAATTTATTACATAATGCAGACAAAAGTAGGGGCTGCAAAGTCTGTCATTCCTGAGACAGGAAATCTTGCTTTTAAAGCTGCACAGATGAATTCTGATACAACCTTTAACCATCATCACTACCTCAGCCCTTCACAAACATTACTGAATTCACTTCTGTAAAGTCCTCATGAAAAGCAATACTTTTTTGTGCACTCATTTCCTACATGGGAAATGGGCACTGGCAGATTCAGATGAAGAAAACTCACTTTTTAATTTTTTGAAGTATTTCTGCTTGCTTTTTCCAGCTGTTAAAATGGTCCAGTTTTAGCCCTATATACATTAGAAGTACAGTTCCCTGTTGATTTCAGGTACTGAACTAACTGAAGGGCAATTGTATCCAGGTTGCTGTGCTCTTCGTTTATTTTGCATTTAGTCTTGGCCTCAAGCCCAGGAAGGACAGATATCACAATGAAATCTGATTTTCTAGTAACTGCATAAAATGTATTTTCCACTCACCTTTCTCCTAGAAATGTATAATCTTCTTGGGTTGAAACTTCACACAGTATTCAGGCATTTAACACAGAAAAGGTGCTGTAGGGTAGGTGGGTCCAGAGAAAAAGCTGGTCCTGAGAGCTTTTCTGTTGGCACTACTCTTTCCAATATTTCCCTGCAACAGCTGGTCTGTAGTGGTGAAGTACCACTACAGTGGTCTGTAGTCAGTGAAGCTCGCTTTTGGGAACAAACTGGCTAAAATTACTGTTCTTGTTTAGGTAAAGAAGGCCCTGGCTGGTGCAAATGGTTAAAATGGATAATGGGAGTAAAAAAAAAAAAATAAAAAAAAAAGGAAAGAAACAAAAGTGCCATTTAATGTCACTGGAGATGCAGTCCTGCCAGCCCTCAACATTTTACTGTGAGTTTCATAAAATAGTTAATGAAATACTCCAGCAGAGGCTGGGCTGCACAAATGCATCAAGTTTTCCATGGAAGAACATCTCAGTTCTTCATGCAGCACTGAGAAGCTTGAAATCACCACCCCAACGCATAAGAAGAGCTTAGAAACCAAAAGGCCCCCCCTGCATTTCCCAATTTGTGATTTCTGAAAAGCTTACCATTTCTAAACCACCTTTGTGTTACTTTGGTCCCTGCTTGTGCAAGGCTTAGAGGTGCAGAGCCAAGCAGGGACCCCCTGTCAGGTCATTCTGCATATGATTTTTGAGAGCATACCTCATCATGAATCTGTCCACAAGCAAGTGGGAAATAAAGCCCTCCAGAGATGAGTGTGGCACATGCACATCCTAGGACACAACAAACCTCCCCAGCTGACCTCCTCTGTGTTGTGAAAGCCATCCTTAGACATCCAGGACCCAGTCTGCCTTGGGTAGCAATGTCTGCTAACTGGTGTTGAAGCACAGAATGAACTGAACATGTTGTTCTCTTTGTAAACTGGTTTAAATGGACAGAATGCTTGACAGACTGGAGCTTCCAGCTCTGCTTGTTTAGCAAGGAATGCTCTCTTAATTTCTTATTGTGGCACACAAGATTTAGTGCAGATCCTTTAATTTAAATGTCAGAATGTGAGCAGTAATTTATTTCCATAAAACGAAAAGCAATAAAGTCAAATATATTAAGCTCTGGCTGTGAGAGCTGAGATTATACAATTTATAATTGTACAAAACACAAACAGCAAAAAATTACCCCACAAAGGATGAGTTATTATCACTCACTTAAGCGTTGATTCAGGGCTGGAGAAAGCAGTTGCAAGAAAATTAAAAAGAAAAAGGAAACAGAAGGAAAAGCCGAAGTACCTGGGACACTGAAAGGCCCTTGGTGACAGCAGAAAGTGGAGAGCAGGCGCATCTGAGGTGTCCCTTCACCTGATGGCCTTCCCAAGCGCTCCTCTGCTGCTCCTCCATGCTTTGCGCTCTGAGACTTGCTCTGACTTCCCATTTTCATATTGAGAAACCGAGTCTTGGCTACAACCCATCATTTTCATATGTACCTTACACCCCCAAAATGACACTCCCTGACAAACAATAAAGTATGTCTAGGAATAAGATGTTGTGTTCCTTGCAGCAGGGACCATCTTTTTTCAGCACCTGGGACAGATGAAACCTGGTCCTCAGTCAGGTCTTATCAGACACTAGTGGTAACACAACTCACAATGTGACACAGGCATTCAGATGCTGATTAGCTGCGCTGAATCAGAATGACTCCACATACAAGTAAAGTTAGATTGTGAAAACACATCTCTCTGAAAGGAGCACCAATATTTCAGATGGTATCTGCACCAGAACTTCTCCAGGAATTTGGCTCCGATCCCCCCTCTGTTAATCTAAGCTGTCCATAAAATGACCATCTAGTAACGAGGAATATCTGAATTATCCTGGCAAAACCCAGCATTTGGAGGAAGCATGTAAACATCAAGGAGCCCAGTTAAAATGCACAATGGGTAAGACAGCCTTGCTACTGGTATTTAATTGACAGAGAAGCAGAACTGAGGACAAAACCACTAGAAATGCCATTCAGAGATTGATTTATACCACAGTTTGAACTATTACAAAAGCCACTGAAGCAGAGCTACAGAAACAAACATCTGGTGGCTGCAAACCTGCCAAGCCTCCCCACTTTCATGGCTGACCCTTACGCTAAATGCTGGGGAGAGGCTAAGAACAAATTTGCCCTGTGCACCATTTCTGGAGAGTGAATCACAGGCCCTCCCAGGTCCACATGGTTGTTGGGGCTAGAATGTGCTGGTCCACATTTTTTTCCCTTTGACATAGTAGAGGCTGGAAAAAAATAGAGTTGTACCAGGAAAGTCTACAGTCATGGAATCATTTAGGTTGGAAAAGACCTTTAAGATCATCAAGTCCAACTGTTAACCTAGCTCTAACCACATGTACACTTCTTTTAAATAACTCCTGGAATGGTGACTCAGCCACTTCCCTGGGCAGCCTGTTCCAATGCTTCACAACCCTTTCCATGAAGAATTTTTTGCTAATCTCTAATCTAAATCTTTGGTGCAGCTTGATGTCATTTCCTCTTGTCTTATCACTTGTTACTGGGAGAAGAGACCAGTATCCACCTCATTACAACCTCCTTTCAGGTAGTTCTAGAGAGCAATAAGGTCTCCCTGCTCCGAGCCACTTTTTCACCCAGGCTGAACAGCCCAAGTTCCCTCAGCCAGTTTCTCCAGAATGGATGCAGGAAGGGCTTCCTTGGCAAAAGGTGTCTGCTGTGTTTTTTGAAATTGGAACGGTACGACTGGGCACAGCTGCAGGACCAGGAGGATGCTAAATTTTGGGACCTATGGGATTTCCTTACTGTTTCTACTTGCAATCAGCCGGAGAATTTAGGAGTGGCTCTTCCAGTACCACTTAATGCCATCACTTGCAAGCTTAACTGAAGCCTGAGGAAATACTGATTAACAGTATTCATCCTGGACTGGGGCTTAGCCACTCCCCTCCTTTTTGCTAACCCTTAATGTATTCATTGCCTTATTTTCATACATGCTGATTGAATAGCGATTTATTCTGCTGGTGCTAGGCTAGTCCCCCCATACTAAATGTGAAATCTTTATTCTAACCAATGTCTAAATCATTGTTTTCTGGCGGCACAGATCATGTGGCACAGATTATTAATAGCTCTGGTCTCTACACCACTTGACACGGCGCTCCAGCTGTCATTCTGCTCCCTGGCTCGTATGATTCTTGCACTGGTAAAGTGCCAGGCCCGGGCCGAGCCCATCAGTCACTGTCACCCACCACCCAGTGATGAATAGCCCCACGAGCACCGTGGCGAGGCCCCAGCTCCCGTTCACACGCGCCTGACTTTTACCGGCTCCAGCACACCAGCTGAGGCCGGTCCCCGCTGAGGTGGGCCGTGGCGACCTGGGAAGACCACCCCCCCGCGCCCCGGATTAGTTAAAAATGAAACAAATCCTAATGCGATCATGTCACTAATTATGCATTTAATTCAGTTATAAGGAGCTAATGGCTCCCCCAGTGACAGCTTTTACTGGTAAAAGGCAATTCATTCCTGAAACTGAGAAATCTAATTACACAAAATGCTTCGTCCTAATCCTTTCAAAGAATAATCTTATTTGTAGACATTAACATCCCAGATGCTGCTGCTGTTTGTCCATTATGACAGTGTTTGTCCTGAATAATGTATAAATAGCTCTTTCTGGACAGTTGCATGTCACTAAATCAATACAATTTGCTGCCTTCTGTTACATTAAGTCAGCC